ATCGATCCGAAGACAACTCCCAATCACTTAACTCTGGGAGAGATTGGAATGGAGTCCATGTTTGCTGTGGAACTGCAACAGGGATTGGAGAGAGAGTATGACATTAAGGTTACCCTAAATGACATCAAAAACATCACAATCGGAATGATGAAGGATTTCGAAGTCGGAAAAGTCGATGAAATGAAGTGTTTTGCCGATGAGATTAAGATCTGTCGCACGAAGTTATGTAAAGTGAAGTTCATTATACCTACGGATGCCTATCAGCGACTTAATAATGTGACGACTGGAAGACCCCTCTATTTCTTGCCTCCACTCGAAGGCATCTTCGCATCACTGGAAGCCTTGGCCGAAAAAATAGACCGACCCGTCATTGGTCTCAATTGGCTCAAAGATATGGAGAAATTGGGGTCTCTTAAGGAAATCAGCAAATATTACACAAATCTCATGAAAACACTTGAGCCGAAAGGAGATTATGACATATTTGGCCACTTTTATGGTGCACTCATTTGTATGAAAATGTTGAAGAAAGCGCCGGTGGGAAGGGCTGTCATAATAGACATGTTGTCTGAGATAAATCTGGACGAAGAGATGTTATCCGACGACTATTTGGTCGAAATGATTATGGCTTTCATAAGTAAGGACTTGCCGTCTGTTATGAAGGCTAAGATCCGACGCGATATCTCATCCAAACCCGATGTTAAGTCGAAACTCGAAAAGCTTACGACAGAGTTGAAGGAGTTTTGTGGAAAAAGTCTCGTGAGTCGGGACTTGGATGAGATTCTCATGAGTTCCTTCAAAAGGGCTAAACTTTTCACTACATATCGCCTGAATATGAAGACTAAATTCAAGAAAATGAAATACAATATCGCAGAGAAATACATGAAAATGAATGGAAAGATATTAATCATAAAACCCTATGATTTCGGTGAAGACGCTAAGGCCGATGAGATCACCGATAAGATAAAGAACGCCTATTTCCTACCCGAACAGGTATTTGTGGTTATATTGATAACAATTTAAATATATTTTTATGAATATTAATGTTTTTATCAAATTTGCCAATAAAAAGGGTTTGGAAGGAAAGCTAAACTTCGAGACAATTGACGCGACCGGAGAGGAAATGGAGGCCCAGAAGACTATTGAGAAGATGGCCTCTTCTATCAATCAATATTTGTCCAAAAAATAAAGTGTAGTCCATATGAGAGCCATTATTATTGCTATATTTGTTATACCTGTATACTGATGTATTTGTAAGACTTTTATATAATTTATTAGTTTAGCACTATTAATACTGTTTCTATAATAATTGTAAAGGAGTTAAGACTTAATAATTTTTGAATTTAATAAAGTGTTTTTATATGATGCGAGTAAGTTATGTTTAAAGGGCTGAAATGATAAAAAAGATTTAATTTTAAAGATTATCTAATAGTGAGTAAAATTCTAAACTTAATAATACCGTAAATCGTGTATTATGATTTTTCATTAAAGTTCTTAAAAAGTGTCTTATGTTTACAATTTACCACCATACAGTACTAGTATACTATATTACTAATTTCACAAACACAATAAGGATAAACTTAATTTTATTTAAATTACTCATATTAAATTTCACAATTTCCAGAATTTATATTTAATACCGTATTTTATTTACCTATAATATGTCATTCTTAAATAAATTAATTTAGAAATGTGTTATAATAAAAGAAAATCTCTAATCAGATGCTCATAAAAATGAATGTTTGACGTCTTTACAAGTGTTCATTGGCAGTGTAATAATCACAACATTTAAGCCATAATTATATCATTGCTATATGTTTTGGGAATATTTGGGGAAATTTATTTTTAAGTTATAAATTCTTCATTCATTGATTGGCATTAATCATCAAAACATAGTTATGCAAAATAGTAAACTTTCCATTACATTCAATACAAACCTGCACTTTAATATTAAAGGCAATTAATCTAAAAGTAAATTATTATTTTCATTATTTTCCAATTATCACCATTTATTTTGTAATAAGATATTTTTTAAAAATATAAATACAATTTATTAGTAATTAATTATCGTATATACATTTACTTGTAAATGACATTATTTGCATATACATACTGTACAGTATTTTGAACAATTTTGACTGAATAATATTTGAAATAAGTACTAAAAATAGTTATAAGTTATTAAAAATAGTTATTATATATGGCCTTAATTATTAAAGTTTAATACTATATTATAATTTTATTGTAATTTATTGATGAATTTTTAAATTGGAAATATAAAAAAATTTACAATTATTATTTAGTTAACTAAAAAGGTAAACATTAAAAATAATAAATGTAAGTATACTAACTTATTAAGGTAATTGTAAAATTCTTTATGTCGTTATATAAAATAATTGATAAAATATATCAATTTATAATTACTGTAGTAATTCATAGCATAAATAATTTTATATGAAGTTATCAGTGTTTATGCTAATTTATAATAGTTATATTGTATATAAATTGAAGCCTTGATTTTATAATTTAAAAATCAATTATTGGGATTTCCGATTACTTTACTCACATTTTTGTCATATTCTTGAAATTAAAACCGATTTTCATTTGAAAAAATATAATAAAATTAATGAACATTTTATGGATTTTACATAAATAAATAATACTATGAAAGTGCTCAATGATTTCAATTTGATTTAAAGTATGACTTGTAATGAGAGGTAAAAATAGGTACGGGTCATGTTTTATTTTGCAAACATTTGTAAACACTTTCAATGATACTTTTAACAAAAGGTCTTGATTTATAATATATTAATTATTGTGGAGATATAATGCATAATTTTATCATTTGTTACCACTTGAATTAAAAATCATTTTTTGCGATCTGACATTGAAATATGAAATGATGAATCGCATGAATAATTATAGTTAAACAAATGCTTCATTTAATGCTCAAAATATTTTTGAATAAATTGTCAAATAATTAACAATTAATTAAACGCCAATTAAAATTAGAGTCAATTTTATAAACAATTATTGAATTTCTTTCCGCAAAATCCTTATCTCACTTTCATATCAATTCACATTTCAATTCATTTGAATATTTTTCATTTTTACTTTTTTATTGTTTAATTAATTATCAAGTTATTAATATAAGTTTAGGCTTTAAGTGTATAAAATAAGGTTTGTCTGAGTAATTCAAACGTAAAAAGTTAATGGTTTATGCATTTATATTCAATTTATTCAATATTTTAAATAAACATTGTTTTAGTTTTGGATTTTCTATAAAGAATTGCCAAAAGTATTTATTTTTTAACTGCAATTAAGACATAAATGACTTTCTAAAGCAAACAGCAATTCCTATGGGAATATATTATAAACACGTCAATAGACATAATCATTTTGTCAAATGTCTGTTACTATAAATCATATTATTTTACAAAACATCAAATATTTAGGCGAAAATTGTTAGGAAAATTTTGAGATCCGGATCACACATGCAATCACTTATAAAACAAGTATTTGTTAATTACTCAAAAACCTATTCACTATTTCTTTTATAAATAAACACTTTCTGACAGTTTTGCTGATTTTTATTATTTTATAACTTTATTGTAACACATTATTAAATATAGGAAATCCCATTGATATAATGGTATTATTAATATATTTGTCCGACCATTTATAAGGGCACTAAATGTATAATGTACATGTATATCTTGGTATAAAATATTACATCACAATTTAAAACAAATTTCTAATAATAATTGTTTACAATAATATAAAGTAATTATATTGAATGCTAAATGCAAATCAATAGTATGATTATATGATTAAACACTAAATTATTCACAACTTATACGTCAATTAATAGAAAATAAAATGATAGTCACGAAAGTGATTAAAAATATGATGTTTTGTTTAAATGCTTTTAAAAGACCACTAAAACTTGCAATTAAATTGCCTCAAACATCAATAAATGTTTTTCTTACTTTTACCATATTTTAAAGTAAGTTTTAAAAATGATGATAAATTTGAAAACAGATTCAAATCAGATTGGATTTTACGTAAACCTTGGCTTATGTATGCGATTAGGAGACACATCTATAATACCATTATCGGGGGCTGGTAGATGAAAACTAGAGGTGATTTCCTACAGTATAGTTCAATTTAATAGGAAATAATTAACATAATTTTCCTAACTGTACTACCTATACAAATATTTCACTAAAAATAAGACTTAATCAATTAATAAAATTTTAAAACTAATTAATTGAATAAAAGTTAAGCTTACGTATAATAAATCATAAAATTTTAAGTCAAATAAATTTTAATTGTTTGAATAGTTTGAAACCCCGCGAGAAATAGTGATAACCCCTTTGGCAAGCACCCTCCTTATTGTAGTAAAACTACTGAATATTAATTTATGATATAATGC